GGATTCCGGAAACACCCTTGGGAGTTAGACTGGGACCCTGTCTGGGCCCCATCAGACATAACCTGGGACAGGCACCCGGGAGAAAGAGAGATGCCTTCGGGCTGGGGCAATCAGGGAGGGCTTCCTGGAAGAAGAGGCCATGCAGCGTGCCTACGGCTTTGCCCGGCTGCAAGGAGGACGCTGGGCTTCCAGCTGGAACAACCCACTGTGCACGTGCCCAGCTGTGCTAGGCTTAGAGCGAAGGTCTGTCCTGAGAGCCCAGGAGCCCGGGAGGCGCCCTCACCCACGGCCTGACATGTTCCCTTCGTGTGTGTGTGTGTGTGTGTGTGTGTGTGTGTGTGTGTGTGTATGTGTGCACACTTGGCGTTTTTCATCCTTGACAGTATCACAGATGTCCCCCATCTGCCCCTTCCGCCCCCTCACTTCGTGTGTGTTTTGTATTCTCCTTTCTGTCGGTCCTCTTTTTTTTTTTTTTTAAATACAGAGAGGAAGGGAGAGGGAGAGAGAGAGCGAGAAGCATTAATAACGAGAGAGAATCATGGACGGGCTGCCTCCTGCACGCCCCACATCGGGGATCGAGCCCGACCGGGAATTGAACCGTGACTCCCTGGTTTTAGAGTCCATAGGGAGCCACGCAGGCGGGCCTATCAGTCCCTTTTTCGTGTGGGAAGAGCCTGGATTCCGGTGTCAGTGAAGCCGTTAAAATCTCTCAGAGCCTCGGAGGTCCCGTCCTTAAAGTGGGAGGGAAACGCCAGCTCGCGGGGCCGTTGTGAGGACCACAGTGCCTGGCACTGGCCTGTTGTCACCCCCCGACCAGGTCAGAAGCCCAGCGCGTCCTCCTTGCAGCCGGGCAAAGCCGTAGGCACGCTGCATGGCCTCTTCTTCCAGGAAGCCCTCCCTGATTGCTCCAGCCCGAAGGCATCTCTCTCTCTCCCGGGTGCCAGTACCGTGTGTAAAGTAAGGGCGACCAGGCTCCGAGCGAGGGCCTATCTTTGGCGTTTTTCATCCTTGACAGTATCACAGATGTCCCCCATCTGCCCCTTCCGCCCCCTCACTTCGTGTGTGTTTTTTATTCTCCTTTCTGTCGGTCCTCTTTTTTTTTTTTTTTAAATACAGAGAGGAAGGGAGAGGGAGAGAGAGAGCGAGAAGCATTAATAACGAGAGAGAATCATGGACGGGCTGCCTCCTGCACGCCCCACATCGGGGATCGAGCCCGACCGGGAATTGAACCGTGACTCCCTGGTTTTAGAGTCCATAGGGAGCCACGCAGGCGGGCCTATCAGTCCCTTTTTCGTGTGGGAAGAGCCTGGATTCCGGTGTCAGTGAAGCCGTTAAAATCTCTCAGAGCCTCGGAGGTCCCGTCCTTAAAGTGGGAGGGAAACGCCAGCTCGCGGGGCCGTTGTGAGGACCACAGTGCCTGGCACTGGCCTGTTGTCACCCCCCGACCAGGTCAGAAGCCCAGCGCGTCCTCCTTGCAGCCGGGCAAAGCCGTAGGCACGCTGCATGGCCTCTTCTTCCAGGAAGCCCTCCCTGATTGCTCCAGCCCGAAGGCATCTCTCTCTCTCCCGGGTGCCAGTACCGTGTGTAAAGTAAGGGCGACCAGGCTCCGAGCGAGGGCCTATCTGATTAGTGGTAACAATAACGGCCGGGGCTGGGCACCGAAGGCTGCACACGATCCTCTCATTTGACCCTCACAATGCGCAGGCGGGTGCGCCACCTGGGGCTGAGCCGCACGGAACGGGGGACACTTGGTAGTTGTACGTGGCTCACCCCAATATTGTTAGCATCCCAGGTTTTTTTGTTTTAATCCTCACCCAAGGATATGTTTCCATGGATTTCTAGAGAGCGTGGGAGGGGGAGGGAGAGACAGAGAGAGAAACATTGATGTGCGAGAGACACGTCGATTAGGTTGCCTCCTGCACCTGCCCCAACCAGGCCCAGGGGTTGAGCCTGCAACCGAGGTACATGCCCTTGACCGGAATCGAACCCGGGATCCTTCAGTCCATGGGCTGACGCGCTATCCACTGAGCCACACCGGAGAGGGCTGTCCCAGATTTAGAGGTGGAAATGGGGCTGATAACCAGGAGGGAGTGGGAACCTGGCTGGGGCGCAGGGCTCCTCCCTGGGGCCCCCAGGGCTGGTTTCTGTGGGTGGGAACACCCCGTCCCAGATTTAGAGGCGGAAATGGGGCTGATAACCCGGAGGGAGTGGGAACCTGGCTGGGGCACAAGGCTCCTCGCTTGTGGCCCCCAGGGCTGGTTTCTGTGGGTGGGAACACCCCGAAAAGATTTCGGCATCACCCCGCCCCCTCTCTTCCATCCAGCTCCATCCTCCGAACCCAAAACTGGGCCACACAGCCCCGCGGAGCTCCTGGGCTGCCCCTGGGTGGGAGGAGCTGCCAGCGTGTGAGGCTTTCTGGGACGAGTCTGTGGTTCAAGAGGATAAAGGGGTGGGTGGTTATGAAACCAGGAATGACCTGGAACGCCGGGGCTGGGGCTGGCGGAGCTGACCGGGAGGCCGACCGACAGGTGCAGGTCAAGCCAGGCGGCGAGGCAGAGGGAGGACTGTGGGCTCCGGGGCGCAGATCTCAGCTCCTCCCTGGCTGTGGGCCCCTGGACACGTGTCTTCCCCTCTCTGGGCCGCCATGTACTGGTTCTGGATACTCACTCCTCTCTGCGAGGCTGTGGGCAGGATTGGCACAGATGTACCGGTGGGGCTCGGAGCAGGGCGTGGTACACAGTAGGCGCTCAGGCCACAGGGACTGGAACCGTCATTGTCACGGGGAGGAGAGACTGGCGCTGCGTCTGGAGGGGAGGTCTGCCCGGGGGAGGGTGGCACAGGGCTTGCCTGGCAGCCCCGTGCCCAGGGCCACAGGGAGGGAGTGCAGGGCACGGCGAGTCCCGGGAGGAGGGGGTGGGGAGCACCGGTCCCTGGAAGTGAGGCCTGGGGACTGGAACTGTGTCAGGGCCTAGGGCAGTGATGGCGAACCTCTGACACCCGTGTCAGAGGTGACACGCGAACTCATTTTTTGGGTTGATTTTTCTTTGTTAAATGGCATTTAAATATATAAAATAAATATCAAAAGTATAAATCTTTGTTTTACTATGGTTGCAAATATCAAAAAAAATTTCTATATGTGACACGGCACCAGAGTTAAGTTAGGGTTTTTCAAAATGCTGACACGCCGAGCTCAAAAGGTTTGCCATCACTGGTCTAGGGAGCCACAGGGGGAATGGGAGCAGTGTCTGCTGGGGCCTGGGCGTGGGGACTGGAGGCAGGGAGGCAGGGAGGAGGCCAGGACAAGAGTCCACGGGAGAGAATCAGGCCTGACCAGCGCCGGGGCCACAGGGACACAGAGGGGACGGGGAGGGAGAGTCCAGGGCAGAGGGAAGGGGCTGAGGACTGACAGGACAGGGGTGTGGGCGGGAAGGGGAGGGGGGGCGCGCCCGGCTGGGAGTCTGGCCGTGTGACTGGGGGAATCTGGGTCGTTCTGGGCTGGGGACCTGGGGGAGGAGCAGGTTTGGGGCACAGACTGGCTGACGCCCCATTTCTAACCTGAAGGAGGAGAATTCCACATAAGGGGCTGGACTGCCCCCTGCTCCCTGCCCCCTGCTGTGACCTCTGACCCAGCCTCACCCCTGCCCTCCCACCCACAGCACCCTCCCCGATCCCAAACTGCAAAAACCCTCAGAGGCCACAGCCCAACCCCTTGGCTTGGAGATGGGGAAACTGAGGCAAAGAGGTGGAGTCACTGAGACAAGTCTGGGTTGAGGCTCTGACGTCCAAATTCTGGGTCTGGCGTTGCTTCCTTGCCTGGGTCCCCTCCCTCCGCTGCCCCCTCTCACCC